GCTGGATCAATCATTTGGCTGAATCAGTCAAGTAACTAATTGAATTCTTTTTTCACTAGAGTCCTGACCTTGCTAGATTATACCATTTGACTATCTCCTGGGACACTGGGTAAGAAGAGGCAATAAACGTGGTTTGCTGCTGGGCTTAGTAAATGGACTTCCTTCAACAAGGGCTTGTTGCCCAGCACCAGGGAGTGCTACCAGCAGGTAATCCTCAGCTGGTAGTTCCTCTCCTTGATAGCAGACAGCTGCCTCACCCAAGGTCACTTCGCTTCCAACAGCAGACAACTAATAATAATTGATTAATGTGAGAATATAAGGGCCTGGCCGTCTTGGCTTAAAGGGTCACGATTCTGAAGAACCCTTCTAGCTCTAGATTTCATTAAGGGATAAGCTGAGGCTGTTGTTGTTTAATTATAGCTCAGATCCTGCCCATTCCTGCTTAACTCCCCCCTTTTCCACAGGTATTGAGCCCAAGGGCACTACTTAGTAAGCATTTTGCACATTAATCTCTGTTTCAGAGTCTGGTTTCTGAGAAACCTAACCTGAAACATTTGGTCTCACAAAAGTTGAAACATCTGAGCAATTTTAATGATCTGTACATTTTTCAGCTAGTTCATCTGGCCACCATGCAGAAACAGCCTAAACTGAGTATAGTTAAGATGTTAACTAGATTTATTTATGTGTTTTTAAAAATCATTAAGATGCCAAATTGACTTCCTTATTTGAAAGTTTGCTACTCACATGGATTATTAGGGAAATAGCATCGACATGATTTAGTTCGTACAAATAGCATGGCAATAGAGTTAATACTCTCCCGTGATATCTTTTTTGGGGAAGCTGGTGAGATATGCCTGGATAATATTATTTTTATGTAGATTTATAGTTCACTGAAGTATCCTAATAAAAATTGTGTTCTGTAATCATAGAGACCGCTCTCTAATATAGTATCACAAAGGTCTAACTCTATCTACATCCTCTTCAGTGTTTTTTGAACAGTAGCTTGAAGACATTGAAGTGATGATTATTAAATTTGACACAAAGCTGGGCCAAAAACTATAAGTTAACTTACAGAATCAATATTCAAGGCAATTCTGATGACTGGAATTCTGGATGGAAACCTGAACATAAAATTTAATAGAAAAAAATTTAATAAATACCCTTTTAAAGTCTCATATTTAAGTAAGAGGGAGAGAGATACATGAAACTGAGATTGGGGACACTTGACTGGGAAGTTCATGTGAGCAGATGTTCTATTAATATCTGAAAAGGAAGAACTTGGACCTCTACATTCATCTTAAAATTCTACCTTACACCAAAGATAAAAACAAAATACAAGCTAAGGAGAGCACCTCAAAGGGCAGTATTCAAATACTGAAAAAAAAAGTCTGACCATTGCTGCAGGCAATGTGTTCACACAAACAAATAAGTTAAAAGGTAAGCAATTGCCTAACAGCATGTTCAGAAAATAGATACTCTTGGGAATTTAAGCCGTGTATGTAATAGCTAAAATATCAGTATTTTCCTGCCTAAATTTTTCAAGTATTTGCCTAACTTGTCTTATTTCAACACCAAATCTAATGTTTTTGAGAATATACTACTAAGTATCTGAGCTTTGCACCTTTCAGTCAATTATAGAGTATAATATGATCTAAAAGTAATCAAATATTATTAAAAATCAATAGAAGTCTTCAGATATAGCGCTGATTTGTTTGTAATTAATAAGGTATCCAAAATCACTCAACTGTGGATAAAAAATACATTTCTTTCACTTTCTTTAATCCCTGGAACTGAAGCAAAAAAAAATTAGCAGGTTCTGTAAAACAGACATGTTAATGTCTACCTCACATTTTTCAGCTAGTTCATCTGGCCACCATGCAGAAACAGCCTAAACTGAGTATAGTTAAGATGTTAACTAGATTTATTTATGTGTTTTTAAAAATCATTAAGATGCCAAATTGACTTCCTTATTTGAAAGTTTGCTACTCACATGGATTATTAGGGAAATAGCATCGACATGATTTAGTTCGTACAAATAGCATGGCAATAGAGTTAATACTCTCCCGTGATATCTTTTTTGGGGAAGCTGGTGAGATATGCCTGGATAATATTATTTTTATGTAGATTTATAGTTCACTGAAGTATCCTAATAAAAATTGTGTTCTGTAATCATAGAGACCGCTCTCTAATATAGTATCACAAAGGTCTAACTCTATCTACATCCTCTTCAGTGTTTTTTGAACAGTAGCTTGAAGACATTGAAGTGATGATTATTAAATTTGACACAAAGCTGGGCCAAAAACTATAAGTTAACTTACAGAATCAATATTCAAGGCAATTCTGATGACTGGAATTCTGGATGGAAACCTGAACATAAAATTTAATAGAAAAAAATTTAATAAATACCCTTTTAAAGTCTCATATTTAAGTAAGAGGGAGAGAGATACATGAAACTGAGATTGGGGACACTTGACTGGGAAGTTCATGTGAGCAGATGTTCTATTAATATCTGAAAAGGAAGAACTTGGACCTCTACATTCATCTTAAAATTCTACCTTACACCAAAGATAAAAACAAAATACAAGCTAAGGAGAGCACCTCAAAGGGCAGTATTCAAATACTGAAAAAAAAAGTCTGACCATTGCTGCAGGCAATGTGTTCACACAAACAAATAAGTTAAAAGGTAAGCAATTGCCTAACAGCATGTTCAGAAAATAGATACTCTTGGGAATTTAAGCCGTGTATGTAATAGCTAAAATATCAGTATTTTCCTGCCTAAATTTTTCAAGTATTTGCCTAACTTGTCTTATTTCAACACCAAATCTAATGTTTTTGAGAATATACTACTAAGTATGCTGAGCTTTGCACCTTTCAGTCAATTATAGAGTATAATATGATCTAAAAGTAATCAAATATTATTAAAAATCAATAGAAGTCTTCAGATACAGCGCTGATTTGTTTGTAATTAATAAGGTATCCAAAATCACTCAACTGTGGATAAAAAATACATTTCTTTCACTTTCTTTAATCCCTGGAACTGAAGCAAAAAAAAATTAGCAGGTTCTGTAAAACAGACATGTTAATGTCTACCTCAAAGGGAAAACATCATCTTAATATTCTGTTTATAAGGAAATAGAAAATGAAAGAAATACAGGAGAAGTTTAGATCATGAAGATATGAAGCTGTAAATAACAAACATTTATGAGAAAAAAAATTTGAGAATAAAGAAATGAATTTTTATAAAAAGAGCAGAATGTAAAGTTATGTGGTAAAACTTATTTTAGATATACTGTGTCACCAAAAAATGGGTAAAATTATCAACATTGTACAGTTTAAATATCAGAGTCTATGTGTGTTATGATTAGCATATTTCAGTATATTTCTATAATATTTCTGCAAATGATAAAATATTGCCTCAAGCCATAGTGACTAGAATAAATGTTGAGGTGTTTTAGAAATGAGAAAGTTAGCTGAAAGCACATCATTCCTTTCATGGCAATTGCCAGGAACTGGGATTTCTAAGTTCTGATGAGTCATGGGATTGGGCCAAGGGTATACCTGTAGTTATCAGTAAGCCCAAATCTCACTGAATTGTTTTGTTGCAGGTAACAAGCAAACAAGCTAACATGTCTTTCTATGACCAGCCATGCAAATAATACTATTGTGAGTAGTCAAGGAAAGATAACAGTATTTTTACACTTGATTCATGAATGTTATGTGTGATTTTTTTCTTCTGTGAAATAAGTTTACTGACTGGAGATACAAAAATTCACTTTTAATTCAATTTTATAGTCATTTAATCACCCAACAACGTGCAACTGCAGAAACCAAAATTGAAAAGCATATGCCCATTAATAAAAGAATCTCCTATATCTTATTTTAATCAACAGGTTTTTTCCCCTCCTGTTTACTCATCTATTAACGATATTCCAAACAATAAATCTAAAATAATAACTATTATAGTGGAATATAGTGTTCCAGGTAAAAAGTATTTTGATACTGGTCATTAGATATAATCATCTCTAATGCTAATGATATGAACATTCATAATTTAATGAAATGAGACATACAGGAAAACCCATGCTTAAAAAAAAATGAATTCTCCCATATACACATATATACACACCCCTTCAAATAACAAGATTATTAATCCCATTAAAAGAGAGAAAAGAAGTCTTACTGAGGCCACATCTGCAAAGAGTTGGTTGATAATTTGGAATGGAATATGTTGGAGTCAAAGAAAAACCTTAAATTACAAACCCAGATATCTTCATGATGAAGTGCATTCATTTCAGGCCTTCCCAGGGACCCAAAACCTTGAGATAGGCTAGAATCATCCTCCCCCCAACCTTTCAGATTTCAACCTTAAGAGAATTTCCCTTTTAAGAGAATCTTTGAACGGCTTCTCAAGGACTCTGCCATTCCTTTTTTCTTTTCTCCCCAAAGCACTGGAAACCTGGTCCAAAAATTCTCAAAATTCTCTCACTAGAGAAACCTAGACTGTCAATACCATTCTGCCGTGTTTGCCTCCAGTTCTCTTTGGACATATTAAATTGAAGAAACAGAAACCACCTACAAAACATTATGGAAGAATCAGCAAGCTGACTGGACACACACGACACATCCACTTTTTTTTTTTCCTTTTCTTTTTGTCAGCTGCAGCAACAGAAACAAAGGGCACTTTCTCCTTTAGAATTTGAACTCGGCAGACCTGCAGACTCCTTCCTCCCTCCCCTCTCCCCACCTCCTCTCCTGCTCTCTAGCTTCAGAAATCCAAGAAAAGCAGATGTGCTACTTCTCGTCTGGACCTGCATTGGAATCCTGTCAGTTAATGCGGAGGGTAGGGGGAGAAAGTTACTTCGCAGGCAGAGATGTCTCACCTTCCATGCTTGTTGCCATGGAGATGAAATCCAGCCAGTAGATCTAAGGGTTGGCACGTTTGTCTGTGTTCGCTGATCGGTTCAATAACAATGTAAAAGTCGTGTCCTGGGAACCTCCGTGGAGTCACAGTACCGCGGTTAGCGCTTTCCTGGCCTACGTGTGTAAATATATCTGTCTGGGATGGTCAGAAGACGTGGGCGCCCGCGAAGTACGTGTGCGCGCGCGAGTAAATTTGCAGGAAAATAATGCACGGATTTCTTCGATGTGGCAGTGTGTAAATATTTGCGCGCGCGCGTGTGCGTGTGTGAGGGCGTCTGACCGTTTGTGTACGTGAGAGAGAGAAGAGGTGGGAAGTGAGGGGGAAAGAAAACCGCCAACGCAACAAAAAGCCCCGGCCAAGCCCCAACCCCTAAAAAAAAAAAAAAGACAGGGGCTCATTCTCACTCATCACACTTTGCAGGTTAGCAATCCTTCATCACCAGTAAGGCTTTCTAAGACAGTGGGGGTTTTCCTTGATTTATTATTAAAAATCTTTGTTTTCCTCTCCTCTCTGCATTAGTAGCTGTGCTGCGGGCATTTTACTCTGCCCGGTGACCTCAGCCTCAGTCGAGGAGTAGGCCCTACATTCTTACGTCTTCTCATCCTATAAAGGAAAGACGTGAGTGAAGGGTGTATGGGTTTAACTGGGGACTGCATATGTCAGCTGGAGTTATTTTTCCCTACCCTTCGCCTTTCCTAAGCAAACCCAACAGAATCCTGTTTTCTTAGGAGTAGGTGCCTAGGCGCTGTCCGTAGTGCTGAAACACTGCGTTGCTGCTGCTAAGTCACTTCAGTCGTGTCCGACTCTGTGCGACCCCATAGACGGCAGCCCACCGGGCTCCTCCGTCCCCAGGATTCTCCAGGCAAGAACATTGCGTAGTACAAGCTACTAATAGAAGACATAAAGCGAGGAACCCTTAGATAAAGCCCACATAAAGCAGAGAGGCTCATTTTGTAAGGAGCATTGAATGTATATAAATCAAACCTAAACATCATTGAAAGCAAAACAAACGAGGCAACAGACAAAACCCCTCTCCCTTCATCCTTATTTAGGGCTCTTCCCATTCTCCAAGCTCAGTTATAAGGCCCCAATTCTATTTATCTTTGGATAATATATTCAGGGGCTTCGCTGATGGCTGAGCTGGGAATATCCCCAGCTGGATAAGGGCATGGTAACCCACTCCAGTATTCTTGCCTGGAGAATTTCATGGACAGAGGAGCCTGGTGGGCTATGGTCCATGGGGCACAAAGACTCGGACGTGACTGAGTGCCTAACACAACAACACGCTATATTCAGAACCTACAAGTTGCAAACATTTGTAGATTCCTTAAAAACTAAATTATTGACCTAATGAACTATAAACTATTCAGTGACTGGGAAAAGTGTGGTGCAGAATTGGGTCATTATTCATGTAAAAAAAAAAAGCTGAAAACAAGTGTGTTCTAATTAAAAATAAAGTGAAGACAAATTTCATGTTCATTTAGACTATTTACTAAACTAGAAAATTCCATGGTCTTAACAGAAAAGTTTAATGTATAACTGTGAGTTCATACAAAACTACACTAAAAAATTTAAGTCTCTTTCATTTGAAACTATTCAATGCCCTATAACACAGGCCCACCAAGGAGGAGAGTGGAAGAAGTATCTACTTCCAGGAACATGTCATTGCCATGGTTTTACTGACTCGTTTTTTAAAGCTTTCTAAAGGCCACATCATTTTTTTGTATTATATGGTATAGCAGTGCTTCTTGAAATTTAATGTGCATATGAATCCTCCAGGGATCTTGTTAAAATGCAGATTCTCATTCAGTAAGTGTGAGATTGGGTCTCAGATTTTAAATTTCTACCAACATCTCAGGTGATGCCATCGGTTGCTAGTCTCAGGACTACACTTCTAGTAACAAGGTTCTAGAGATAGTATATTCTGGCCATGCAGTCATTCATAGAGTATGGAAAAGGAGGTCATTTTCTTTCCACAGTTTTGCTATGTATGTTTCTAGATTATTGCAATAATATTCTATTCAAAAAAGTTCAGAGATGAACCATTTTGTTTACACAATATTAACAAATTTTATGAATTTATCATTTGATTGATTTTGACATTGTGTAGACACATGCTACAGTTTACTCAATTCTCTATTTCCATACTATGATCTACAATCACCCACTCTCTTTGCAAGTCAAGCTTAAGAAAACAGAAGCAAGTTATATGATTCTACTACTGATGTTTGGGCCTCACTGCAAAAATTTGCTACCATGATTGGCGACTTCAACTTGACATTTTATGACTTTAAATCTGGTTTCCTAGTGAACGCTCATGATACTGATTTGTAAAATCTGGACATTACAGATCTAATTTTCACTCATTTTAGAAAGTAGAAGAGAGCCATTGTTTCATAGACCATTTGAGTGAAATCTGATCTGTCATATCATTGATATAATATACTTATGCTTGGATTTTGAAGGTTCCTCTGAATGATTTTCTGTTTTTTTTAAAAAATCCATACCTACATCAGTTGTGCAGTGCTTTCAGTTAATGCTTTTGAATTGATGCCAAAGGAAAGTTTTGACTATAAATTAGGTTCCTTGCTATTAATTGGTACATGACCTTGACCTTTTTCAAGCTGTGTGAACAGTGGTGATATTTTGAAAAGTCTGCAAAATGGCTCATTCTGGAAAGCATAAAAAGATTAAGTATCAATTATGTTCCACATCCTTTGCCAAGTGCTGGGATACAAATGAGATATTTTGCAAAACAACATAGCAGGTTCTATGAAGTTCTATGGAAGTACAGAAGTTAATAATTTATGTTTTATTCTCCATTACCAAAGAAGTGATGAATAGCAAAATATACAACCCAGAATAGCTGTATTTCAGGTCTTTGCCAATGTTTGTTGCCCAATTTTTATTTAAAAATTGTTGAAAGACAGGAAATAAATGAATGCTTTTCTAAAACACACATGGTTAACTGTACTTCTGGATTGTCTCTGATTTATTTTCAGAGCAATCCAAATTATTAGAAAGGTAAATATGTGGATGAAATTGTTTAGATCTCCTTCCAAAAGAATTGCCTTTACTATGCTTTGACTTTACACGTTCAGTTTATATACAGGTACTCCACATAAAGCAATCTTCAGCCTATACAATCCACTCTATGCTTGCTATGAGGTTGTTACTAAAGATTTCCCAAACACATTCTGCACTATTTCGTATACGACATACCTCTGAAAGCATTTCTTTCAAGACCAGTTTCATGAACTGATCTCTCATACCCCTCCTCTTAAATCATCTCAAGGTAAGTGGTGTGTCCTCTTCTTATATACAATGTATATCATGTAGCTGATCACATGTGCCTTTTTCTTTAGTTACCAAGGATGTCAGGGTCAAATTAACAGCTAAAAATGAGTAACTGTATAAGACCTTAAGGCTTTTATATTTATGTTCTTTCTTTATTGACTACTGCACTTTTCTTTGCTCAGATGATGTATTATTTTCCTTCAATTATCTGTTTTAATGTGTGTCTGCATCCAAATGTTCTTATGGAATCAGAAATGGAATAAATAAACTAAAAAGTAAGTAAATAAGTAAATTTATTTCTCTACTTTTTGGCAAAAAATGTTGAGTATACTAAAGATACTAAAATATAGAAAAATGATTATCTAGTTAGCTATGAAGAGAAAAATCTAATTTATTATGCTTGTTAAGCTAGTAGGAGAAAATTTCTCTTTAACTATAGATCAGCTTTATTTCAAAACATATTGTTTCCCCATTTCTTCTTCTATTCACTAAATGGTGTCCTTTGTATAACTAGGACATTTTCTTATGTCAGAGAGCAGATTTATGAATTATCTATCTTGTCAGAAGACATGGTAACTATAGAAATGTAAAGAACATGACATCCCCACTCTAATGAATATATTTGAGAATGAAGGTGTGACTAAGGAACTGAAAGCAAAAATTTTCTCTAACAAGCCAGTTCAGGATTCTTTTCAGAGGAGAATTTTGTTGCTATGAATGCTTGTCACCCTGGTTCCAGCTGACTTCTTGCTCTCAAGTTTTCTATAGTGGGATCCTCTCTTGACCTTATTAGGTCAACATGTTACCTTCAGCTTTTCATGGAAATCTATATCTTGTCTGGCTTGAGTTTGTTTATTCTTTCTGAGTTAGAATATTTGAAAGTAGCTCTGCTTTTTTTTTAATGTTGCCATTTATTCAAATATTGGATACTACAACTTTCAAATGCAAAACTTTAAAAAATGTATTGAAGACAAATGCAAATTACCTTTTCATTATAAATGTTAAACATCAACCCAATGCTTATTTAGCTTTAGATGGTATTAGATAATTAATTATGTCCAAAAGTCACCTGTTTTTTAAAAATACATTCTTATTTGGATTGTCATTTTTAGGTACCTATGGCTTATTTTCTACATAAAGAGTTTCAATTTTTTTGGAGGGTTAAGAATGGTTTTGAAATTTCAATAGAAAATCTATGCCCTCATACACTTGCAGATAATTTTGCTCACAATTTGTGGCATTCATGGACTCTTGGAAGTTCATTTTTATAAATCCCAAAGTAATACAAGGAGTGATTTTTAAATTTCTGCTATAAATAAATGGTCTGTGGTCTCATTCTCAGTTTTGCTAAGTACTGATTGTCTTAAATTCCTGTTATTTTTTAAACTGCCCTATTAATTTTCTATTTTCCTTCCTTTGAGTTCTTCCTCCAGGTCATCTTACCATCTGATCTCTAGAGAGTAGCCAATGCTGAATATGCTGAACTAGGATTAGAGAGTATTGTAATAGGATAATTAAATTTGATTAGAAAACAACTGTGGGATTTTTGTCAACAGTGAAGAAATTATCTAAGTAAGTGGAATCATAAGTGAATTGAGCATGATGATACTTCAGTGTGGATAATGATCTGATGCTGGTCTATTTAATGAGTCCCATTGAAAATGAGATGGTATGTTTTGGTGGTAAACTTTTCTGCAAAGAAAAATGCACTAAATGTGTCAGTTCAGAGTGAACTTTTTAAATTAAGTTTCATTTAACTGGTTTCAATTTTACTGCCCATAAGCCTTAAATCATTTCATTTAAACTGCACTTCAAGTCTTTTCCATATTTACTGTTGACTCTTAACGAATATGATAAGGTACCTTGGGCACAATCTCCATGAATGTGTGATCCATAACCACAGTATAATGCTTAATTGGCTCAAGTTATCTTGCTGGTTTAAAGAAATAGAGAAATAGAATCAGTTTGCTCTGCTACAGTCTATGTTTCTGTAATATGCATCAATGAATTGACAAATAGGGATACCAAAAGAATGTGAAAATCAATTGGTTTATACAAGATTTTCCCTTAAACATTAATGTTTTGACTACTTGGTAAAGGAATTTAATGCTAAATCTATTAACACAGCTAATGCAATAAGCTTGAAGGAAAGCATTCCTATACACACTACCCATTCACTCCTCCTTCTTCCTTTTTGCTCAGTTCAGCCACATGCTCTGTCTTGAACAGGCAAAGTGATTTCCTAATCTTTGTGCGTTTGCCCTTGTTTTCATAATTTACCCTTTCCTTATACTTTTTCATCATTTTCTCTTAACTAAAAAAATTTTGGTGAAGTTCTAGATACATTGTCATGTATATTTTAGCTTGTATTTTTAACTGTGCTCATATTTTCATTAGGTTTGTAAATGTTTTGTAGTGTTTTTGTGAAGTTGCATGAGTTTTACATTGATTTTTCTCCAACACGACACTTTTTCCCTAAATTTTGCCAATTATTTTTTCACTGAATAAACTTTATTTTGTAGATTAGTTTTAGGATTATATAAAAATCAAGCAGAAAGTACTGAAAGTTCCTCTATGTCTCTTTTGCCCTTCCTCCACAGTTTCATCTGGTATTAACATCTTGCATTAGTGTGGGACATTTACTACAGTTGGTGAACCAATAGTGACATGTTATTACTAACTAAGGCCCATAGTTTACATCAGGGCTAACTCTTTGTGTTGTACAGTTCTATATGTTTCACTAAATGCATGTCATGTATCCAGCGTTATAGTATCTTAAAAAAAATAGTTTCATTTCTCTATATACTCCTTGAGCTCCATTTACTCATTCTTCCCCTTTCCCAAACCCACCAGGTTAACCCCTAGAAACCATTGTCTCTATTGCTTTGTCTCCAGAATGTGTGTATGGAGTCATACAGACTCCGTTACCTTTTTTAGGCTGGCTTTTTTATTTAACAGTAAGCATTTAAGTTTCTTTCATGATGTTTCACGGCTTGGTAGCTCATTTCTTTTTATCACTTAATAATATTCCATTGGATGGATATACCATAGTTTGTTTAGCCATTCATCTATTGAAGGACATCTTAGTTGCTTCCACTTTTTGGAAAAGTAAAGGTGTTTTAAACATCACTTGCACGTTTTTGTATGCACATACATTTTCAACTCATGTTGGTAAATAACTAAGAATGTGATTTCTCGATTGTATGGTAAGGGCATGTTTAGCTTCGTAAAAAGTGAACACACTGTATTTCAAAGTAGCTGTACCATTTTATATTTCCACCAGCAATAAAGTAGAATTCCTGTTGCTTGACATTCCTCATCAGCATTTGGTATTGTCAGTGTTTTGGATTTTAGCAGTCTAATGGCTATGCAGTGATATCTCACTACCATTTTCATTTTCAACTCTCTTACGACAAAAGATGTTGAATATCTTATGCTGATTTTCCATTTGTATATCTTCTTTGATGAGATGTCTGTTCAGAGAGTTTCCGACTTTTTAATTTGGTAGTTTGTTTTCTTATCATTGAGTTTTAAGAGTTCTTTGTATAGTTTTGAAATATGGCCTTTACTAGATACATGTTTTGCAAAGATTTTTTCCTTGTCTGAGTCTGTCTTTTCATTTTCTTAAGTTGCCAGGTATTTTTAGGAATGATTTGATAGAACATGAGTTTTTGTTTTCAGAAATGCATGAAACACTTGTATACTTGATATCAGATTTGTAAAACCAAGGTAGCCAAACTGAACTGACACCTCTCATAAGCAAAGCTAAACTGAATGAGTATTTAGTAAGACTGAAAAAGCCTACAATACTACGTAAAAGTTGGTATAAAATAAGTTGAAGCTAGTGGCTATGTATAAAACAATACTTAAAACTATGAAGATTTTAAGGAGAAAGTATAAAGCTAATGGTTTGAGAATTAACTTAAATATTTTTTACATAGTATTCTCTATACACAGTAGTTCTTATATAACTATCCCAAGACTTTAGATGATGCTCAAAGCAATAAACATTTGGGAAGAATAAGGTCTGAGTTTTCAGAAAGGTTTTGGACAGAACGTCTATCCTGGGACTGTCAGAACGTCTGTCCTCACAGTACTACCATACATCCTTAGTAATCTGAAGGAAACTTTGGGGAACTCACAATTGAGATTTGTTAATGGAGCAAAAAGTATAACATAAATTACAAGTTTTTTTTTAAAATACACTTAGACTTATTTAGAGGTGCAGGGATTCCTATTTCTAATGGACACAATGAATGAATGGACGAATGAACAAATAAGTATAGTTATTCTCTCCTTTGTTTTGGGATATCTCAGAACACATACTAAATAGCTTAGACACTGTGCCAAATATTATTTATTGATACTCAGTATTACCCTCACCCTTCTAAGCTCCCTTGTATGAGACATTTCTCAGACTCTGCTAATTCTAACCTAAATTCTACCTACGAGAAGCTCAGGTATAAAATTTAAAGGGAGGGATAGAGAAACCACTAGTCTCAGCAACAGTAACCTTGTAGGTATCAGCAAATGGCAGATGAGATGTTATACCAGCAGCTTCAGGGCATAAGGAAGTTCTGAGACTTACCTGTTGTTACATGAAACAAAGATAATTAGTGGTGATTCCCATGATTCCTGCCCTGCTTAATTTTTCAAACCCTAGCAATAGTTCCTGTACCTTTGCTCCATCAATTGCACTAATTATTGTGTAAACCTCCCTGTCTTTGTACATTAGATCCTACGTGAAATGCCTACAGCTGGATCAAAAGCTTTTTTTTCTTTTCCTGACTGAGTACTGAATAAAGAAAGAAGTAAAATCATGGAAATGTACCTAATCAACTCTGTTTATATACATCAATATGTTTACAGTTATGCATGTAGACATATATCTTTTTAGCATGTTTAAACAGTTTGTGAATTGAAATATAATGACATGAAATCACTTCAGTCTACCAGTCTGTAATACACCATGAAAAATATATTACATTTGTATACTACTGAAAAAGTATTGTTTCTAACAGAGTAAGCTCATATGCAGCTATAAGGAAAAGTATAACCCTTGTTATAAAGGGTCGCAAAAGGGTAGAATTTTTTTATTCTGTTCAGTTTCATGAAACTGTGGTAATAGAAACCCAATGCAAGGCCTAAAGAGAATGGAGGTTCTTTTTCTCCCCAAGCAAGAAGTCTGTATATAGGCAGACTAGGGCTTATACACTGGCCCTGTGAGGTCATCAGTATTTCAGGCTCCTATTTTTTCTGATGTGCCATCTTTAGCTTGTGGCTCTTGTCTTCAAACCTGTTACCTCATGGTTTCAGAGGGATACACCACCATCTAGCCTCACAGGAAAGCAGGGAGGCAAAGAACTTATTAGGAAAGATTCTTCTAGCAATCCAAGTGTATTTATCCTTACAACTTCTTAGAGTTGTGTCCTATGACCACTCCCAGTATTTCAGTTGGGCATATTGCTACTAGACAAAATTGTGATTCTGTCAGTACAAAAAGAAAAAACAGGGAGATTGGATATCAGGCAGGAAACTTGTACTGTTCTACAGGAGACAGCATAGGAACAAATAAAAACCAATGTAAAGGATGTCCTCAAGAAAAAGAAAAAAATAAAGCTGTGTTTGTGTGACCACATTGTAGATTACTGAAGCAAATCGGTTTTTAGAAAAAACCTTTTGAATATCAGGATTAAGTTAAGCTGTGCTTAATCGAAAGACTCCAAATAGTAGCATATTAATCAGGATAGAAAATTTCCTTCAACTGAAAACAAGCTTGAGGTAGGACTATGAAGGTTGTTCATGGTGGTTTCATGGTTGTCATCAGAGACTCTAATTCTATTTTCCTGTTCTAGCAACTTGAGTACTTAGCTTTCAGTCATAAGATCACTTCATGGGCCATCATGGTTACCACTGCTACAGACATCGTTTGTCCATTCCAAGCAGCAGTAAGAGGAGACAAGAGAGGACAACACCCTTCCAGTTAAGTCAGTCCCTTCTGAGGAACCTCCTCCTCAGTCACAACATTTCTGCTCATATCTTAATGGCCAGAACATAGACGTGTGGCCACGCACAGTGGCAAGTGAAGCTAGGAAATGTGAACTTCTATATTCACAATCATCTTAAATAAATGTCTATTATCAAATAAGAAGAGGAATATGGATTATGTTGGTTATAAAGTCTATCATTACCATTTATAGCAGCAGTCCCCAACTTTTTTGGCACCTGGGACAATTTTTCCACCAACAGGGGAGGGAGGGGGTGGTTCGGGAGGTAATGCGAGAGATGGGGAGTGATGGAGTGGGGCAGATGAAGCTTTGTTCCCTCACATGCACTCACGTCCTGCTGTGGGGCTGGGTTCCTCCCAGGCTGAGCACTGCTACCTGTCCGAGTCTCTGGGACTGGTACCCCTGATTTATAGGATTACACTCAAATATGCAGGACAGTGTGTGGATTAGACTTTATTAGTCAACACGCTAAGAAATGTATTGTCCCTTCTAAATGTGGTAACTAAACATTGAGAATGACCTTGCTAAAAAGGGCAATTAAGTTAAAAACAATGTTTCCTACATAATAATTATTTTCATGAATACTCCTTGAGCTGCTGCTGCTGCTGCTAAGTCACTTCAGTCGTGTCCGACTCTGTGCGACCCCATAGACGGCAGCCCACCAGGCTCCCCCATCCCTGGGATTCCCCAGGCAAGAACACTGGAGTGGGTTGCCATTTCCTTCTCCAATGCACGAAAGTGAACAGTGAAAGTGAAGTCGCTCAGTCATGTCCGACTCTTAGTGACCCCATGGACTGCAGCCTACCAGGCTCCTCTGTCCATGGGATTTTCCAGGCAAGAGTACTGGAGTGGGGTGCCATTGCCTTGAGGTAGGACACCAAATTTGGAATAGTTAAAAATTTTACCACATGGTATCCATGCCTTTGGACAGAGGAAACCTAATTCATGGACTTACTGAAGAGGAGGGAGTGGCTATGCCTATAGGAAGGAAAGTAGGGCAGAACCCTTAGAAATTTGCTTTTCTGATCTTTCTTTTAATGGAGTTACTGGAATGAGATTAAGGAAAAGGCATGGTGATTTAAGGAATTAGGAAGAAACAAACACGACATTGTAAAGCAATTTTCCTCCAAAAAAAAAAAAAAAGACAATGAAAAAAAAGTGAGACTCAAGTAAGTACCCAGGAATTAAAGGAGTGTTTAGGCTTCAAAGGAGAAAACTGTCCCAATATTGCTTACAAAAATCAAAAGTAAATCTGTTAATGGGCAATGATCCGAGCGTTGTAAAGTGGAAACATGAAAAATTATTAAAGGAATTCAAGCAACACTGTTGGTATTATCTGAATTATTTAAATAATTGAGGTGAAAGTGGAACTCCTGCCTGGATTATTCAGATAACTTACTTAATTCTAAACTTCTCTTAACTAGTAGAGAACTTTTTAAGTATGTAATTTTAGAATGATAAATGCTAAAAAAGACTCCTAAGTTATGCAGAGTAATAGGAGAAGAGAAGAAAAAGACAGAAAAAGAGTAAGTAGTTAATTGTCAGAATAAATCTATTCATTCAAGTGATAATAACTAATATCTACTTTTTCATCACAGAATGAAATTCTATGGTGAAAAAGTGAACTATATATGTATTTCAAATATAACCTGCGATATTTTTTAGTTATAAATTCCTTTCTTAGTTTCAGTTTTCTAAAGTTGGGAAACAGTGGCTTCAAATTCAGCCATTTAGTTTTGTAAAGCCAAGTAAACTGACTTAAAAAACATACTATTTCTTTGACTTCATATTCTTGGTCTTTGCCTTCAGTAGCCAAAAAAGAATGCTAGTGGCCACTCCATTCTCTTCTTTGGTAGCAGAACCATAGGCAGTGAGCCCAGTTGCCAACATCCCTTACAGATGGGTGTGTCATGTTGTTACTGAGTCCAAGCTCACTCTGCTTGCCACAGGATAGGTGTTGAGGCAAGGAAGAGACTTTAATTAGGGAGCCGGCAGACCAACAAGATGGCAGGCTAGTGCCTCAAAATAACCATCTTCTTGGGGTCTGGATGCCAGGTTGCTTTATAGATGAGAGAGAAAGAAGCAATGAGGAACTAAAGTCAAAGGCAGCATAGAGAGGGAGATGCAGTGGGGAAGTAAAGTGAAAGAGTCTTCAGTTTTGCAAAGCATCTCCAAGGGAATGTCCAGCCTTCAGGAGAAAAGGAAAGATTCACCCATTTGAATGCAGAGTTCCAAATAATAGCAGGGAGAGATAAGAAAGCTTTCCTCAGTGATGAATGCAAAGAAATAGAGGAAAATAATAGAATGGGAAAGGCTAGAAAATTAGAGATACCAAAGGAACATGTCATGCACAGATGGGCACAATAAAGGACAGAAATGGTATGGACCTAACAGAATCAGAAGATATTAAGAAGAGGTGGTAACAATACACAAAAGAACTATACAAAAAAGATCTTCATAACCTAGATAATCACGATGGTGTGATCACTCACCTAGAGCCAGACATCTTGGAATTCGAAGTCAAGTGGGCCTTAGGAGCATCACGACGAACAAAGGTAGTGGAGGTGATGGAATTCCAATTGAACTATTTCAAATCCTAAAAGATGATGCTAAAAAAAAGAAAAAAAAAAAGATGATGCTGTGAAAGTGCTGCACTCAATATGCCAGCAAATTTGGAAAACTCAGCAGTGGCCACGGGACTGGAAAAGGTCAGTTTTCATTCCAATCCCAAAGAAAGGCAATGCCAAAGAATGCTCAAACTACTGCACAGTTGCACTCATCTCACACACTAGCAAAGTAATGCTCAAAATTCTCCAAGTCAGGCTTAAACAGTACATGAACTGAGAACTTCCAGATGTTCAAACTGGTTTTAGAAAAGGCAGATTAACCAGAGATCAAATTGCGAACATCCATTGGACCATCGAAAAAGCAAGAGAGTTCCAGAAAAACATCTACTTCTGCTTTACTGACTATGCCAAAGCCTTTGACTGTGTGGACCACAAGACTGTGGAAAATTCTTAAAGAGATGGGAATACCAGACCACCTGACCTGCCTCCTGAGAAATCTGTATGCAGGTCAAGAAGCAACAGTTAGAACTGGACATGGAACAACGGACTGGTTCCAAATGGGGAAGGGAGTACATCAAGGCTGTATATTGTCACCCTGCTTATTTAACTTATCTGCAGAGAACATCATGCAAAATGTCAGACTGTTTGAAGCACAAGCTGGAATCAAGATTGCTGGGAGAAATATCAATACCCTCAGGTATGCAGATGACACCACACTTATGGCAGAAAGCGAAGAAGAACTAAAGAGCCTCTTGATGAAAGTGAAAGAGGACAGTGAAAAAGTTGGCTTAAAACTCAACATTCAGAAAACTAAGATCATGGCATCTGGTCCCATCACTTCATGGCAAATAGATGGGGGAAACAATGAAAACAGTGAGAGACTTTATTTTCTTGGGCTCCAAAATCACTGCAGATGGTGACTGCAGCCATGAAATTAAAAGACACTTGCTCCTTGGAAGAAAAACCATGACCAACCTACATAGCATGTTAAAAAGCAGAGACATTACTTTGTCAACAAAGGTCTGTCTAGTCAAGGCTATGGTTTTTCCAGTAGTCATGTATGGATGTGAGAGTTGGACTATAAAGAAAGCTGAGTGCCAAAGAATTGACGCTTTTGAACAGTGGTGTTGGAGAAGACTCTCGAGAGTCCCTTGGACTGAAAGGAGATCCAACCAGTCCATCCTATAGGAAATCAGTTCTGAATATACATTGGAAGGACTGATGCTCAAGCTGAAACTCCAATACTTTGACCATCTGATGCGAAGAACTGACTCATTTGAAAAGACCCTGATGCTGGGAAAGATTGAAGGCAAGAGGAGAAGGGGACAACAGAGGATGAGAAGGTTGGATGGCATCACCGACTCGATGGACATGACTTTGAGCAAGCTCCAGGAACTGGTGATGGACAGGGAAGCCTGGTATGCTGCGGTCCGTGGGCTGCAAAGAGTCGGACATGACTGAGCAACTGAACTGACTGAACCGAATCTCTTCTATTCACAGGTGAACAGGGACAAACTATCTCTCCATGAGCTGAACAAAGGCACTTTAGTTTAGCAGGGGGGCAGGGTCCTCAAGACAAGCCATTGAGTATGATTATGATACTAAAAGCAAGTCATAGAAACAGTTTCCAACATGGAGTCAGAACTGGCTTCCTCCCTGCAATAATGTGACTAAGTTTTGACCTGTCAGTGGGAAGTGTTGTGTGAGACTTCTGAATAGGAGCCCTCTTTTCTTAACAGCTTCTTGCCTTCAATGCAGACAAGATGCCTAGATCTCCAGTAGCCAGCTTGGGCCCTAGGGTGACCTTTAAAATGTTTGCCACACACTAGGGTGGTGAAAGGTCAAGACAGAAGAAACCTGTTCAGTTCAGTTGCTCAGTTTTGTCCGACTCTTTGCGACCCCATGGACTGCAGCATGCCAGGCCTCCCTGTTCATCACCAACTCCCGGAGCTCAAACTCATGTCCATCGAGTCGGTGATGCTATCCAACCATCTCATCCTCTGTCATCCCCTTTTCCTCCTGCCTTCAATCTTTCTCAGAATCAAGGTATTTTCCAATGAGTCAGTTCTTCACATCAAGTGGCCAAAGTATTGGAGTTTCAGCTTGAGCATCAGTCCTTCCGATGAATATTCAGGACTGATTTCATTTAGGATTGACTGGTTGGATCTCCTTGCAGTCCAAAGGACTCTCAAGAGTCTTCTCCAACACAACAGTTTAAAGGCATCAATTTCTCAGAAGAAACCTGAGTCCATGATAATTGTGGAACAACTGTACCTGCTCTGGGTTGCCTTCCTCTACACTATTTTTACTTAAAAGAATAATAAGTTCTATCTTGTTTAAGACAGTATTATTTCTAGTCTCTGTGACTATCAATACAATTCCTAAATGATACACAAATTATTAGTTGAAAATATTTTGGAATTTTAGGATTAAATTTTCAGGTATGTGTAATATAATGGTTCTTTCCTA